GCTAACTGCAGAGGAATGACAACAGCAGAAACAACAGCCAACACAGGAGCCCTCATTGCCTCAGCTTAAGTAATTCTGACTACAAAGTGGAGCAAAACTTCCATCGCCCCCAAACTGTTGTGCCACGATCAGCTTCAGACAAGTGCAGAGCTCTCCATGGATGTTTTAAACAAGTGGGATCAAGATCCTGAGGCATTTCTCGGAAGAATTGTAACAAGGTGCAACACGGCTGTACAGCTCAATTTTGAAGACAAAACAATGGCTCCAAGGGGAAGTAGTGGTGCCGCTAAAAGTAAAGGTGGTCACGTGGGGGCAACAGTTTCTGTGGACGCTGAAGGCATTTTGTTAACTTTCTGGAGAATCAAAAAACTAAATTTTTTATTAGGTTTATTATTATTATTACAAGCGGTTTTTTTCTCACAAAGTTAAAAGTTTTAGCAGAAAAAACTCCCAGGAAAACCACCAGAGTTGTTCTTCTGCTCACTCATCCCTCTCATTAAACAAGAACAGTTTACTGAGAATTTGTATGAGAAACCCGGAGGTATCCATCTTACAGTACCAATTTGGCTCTTTCTTTTTATTTCCTAAAGTTAAAAACAAAGACTTTAAAAGGCACTCATTTCTCTTCAGTTAATAATGTAAAAACGCCTGATTGACATGGCTAGATCCACAGGACCCTTGGTTCTTTAGGGATAGACTAGATGGTACCCTTGCTTACAAAAGTGTCTTGATCTTGATGAACTCATGTTGAGAAATAAAGCTTTTATACAGATACTGTATATCTTTTAATGTCATTGAAAGTTTTAAAACTGAAGCAGGGAAAAGTTTACAGAGAAGATGATTAGTTTTACATTCAACAATTCACACACTTTTTTTTTTTTGGCCAACACATCAAATGCAATCTTAACATTTTAAAATCATTTTTCTTTTTCTTTCTTTCATTAGTTTCATTTTTCTGTGAACTTTCCTGAAACCCACTTGTATTTCCAGCAGCAAATAGGTACTCGAAACCGAATGTTACTAAGGATCGATATAAAAATTTTACTGAAGCATAGGAGTTGCCAGTTTCACATGTGCAAAAAAAAGAACAATTAATAAGCAGTATTTTATAATCAACTGTGAGATACCAGAATAGTGATGAACTCTGGAAGGTTACTGACTGAGGAGAACAAGGGAACTCCTGGGCTCCCTGAAAGAACATGCATGTCAGACATTTTACTGCTGGATTCAGAAAGTTTGCACTGGGCCTAAATGGAGCGATGCATTGGTGAGGCAGAATATCGTTGTTGTAGCAGGAGTCAGTCCTGTACAAAGGGAATGAAAGCCATTCTGAAGGAAGAAGCTCACATTTGACGAAACTGCCAGGAGTGGTGTAGGAGGTACTGATTTGGTAAGGTAGATTAGAATCTTCCTGTGGAGTCCTAAGCTTTTAAAAATGAATTTAGTGAGGTTTCTTTTTTCTTTACTGCTATTCCAAAACATTGCTACTTCCCTCAAATCTCCTTCTAAAATTTTCACTAACTTTAGGAATAATCTCACGTTTCACTTCACAGATAAAGCTCATCATATTCCTTCAATGTCCTGCTCTCTTTCCTCTGTAAAATCACATGCACACATACATTAGATCATTTAAAAAATAAGACTATTGATATTATACAATATTGCACGTAGCATACTTATGCTAAATAATCATGGTTTACCTGAAATTCAAATTTAATTGTGCACCCGGAATTTTATTCGGTAAATATGACAACCCTATTTCTTATCTATATTCCTTCTTTTGACAAATTGATTAAATGCATGCCTTTTGGCAAGCACTGTTGTTCAAAATATACAGGCAATAAAACAGACACAGTCCCGGCTGTCATAGAGATTATGGTCTATGAGGTGTAACCCTTCAGATTGCAAATATAAAGCATCTTAATACTTGTCTCCCATATCTTTATAAATTTATTCTGTTCAACTAGTTCTGGGGCGGTATTAGGGCTTTTCTGGTCATGGTACAACCACAATGTCTTTAGCAACAAAATAATTAAACTCCAAATAATATTCAAAGCCTCAATTTTCCTTAATAATCAAAACCTGCTGCAGGACTTAAGTCTTAAGCCAGGGTACAGAAATAGTGGCTTCCACTCCTTTTCCCTATAGGAGCAAACATCGGTTTCTGACGTTTCTAGGACCCAAGAAATGGAGAGGGAGTAAAGGATACAAGAACAAAAAGATTCTATTTCATATGTAGAAATAAAACTAACAAAAGACCTATACAAAAAATGTACAGAACATTACTAGAAACTAAAAGACAACAGTGAGAAATTATATGGCACTCCCTTTAAAAGTTGGAACTAGAAATATCGTATGAACCAGTAATTCCTCCACTTGCTCAAAATCATAGCGAAATCGAGCCACGACACCGATAAATGCATACCCACGTACATCACAGCACTATTGGCAATAGCAAAAAAGATGGGAACAACCTCAGTGCGTATCACTGGGAGAATGGATAAATCATGATCCATAGACCCAAAGGAATACAACAATAAAGACTAATGATAAATCTGTGAAGCACTACATAACATGCACGAACAGTATGCTGAGTGAAATTAGTCCAGTACAAAAGGACAATTCTACTCACATAAGAGACCACTATTGTAAATTCAAGGTTTTCACACTAAAACACTTTTGAATGGCTACTAGGATTGGGAAAAGAAAGGAGGATAAATTGCTGACCAGAAGGTATGCAAGTGTTGACTTGGGGGAAGTGGAAGGCCGGTGTATAGTAAGAGGGAGTTGGTGAAGGCAAGGAAGACACGGGAGCAGTGCAAGAGTTCCAGGCAACAGAGGTACATACTATTATACACACGAGCCCGCATGTAGACATGCAGGCTGTGGTAGGGGGAGTGTGAGTAGACTCGCAAATATATTTAGGTTTGACAGGATGTTTGTGCATATGTATTTACCTATGCTCAAAACATGCAAGAATGTGGTAGAACATTCAAGGGGCAAAGTTATGAGAAATTCCTAGACATAACCAAACACCTTTAGTAAAGGAGCCACTGGGCCCCCATGGGGGCTCAGGACCATGGTTTTGGGGGACACTAAGGTCAATTGCCCCAACATAGTCCATGTTCTATTTTGGTGAGCAGCAATCGGAGTTTTAAGAGCTTGTAAGTAGCCATCTAAGGTGCAAATATTGGTGTCTCCCTGTATGGAGGAAAGAAGAGTGAATAAAATCGAAGACATACTGAAAAAGTTAGTCCAATAGAATAATGGACTAGGCCTAGGTGAACATCAGTCTCTTACCCTGAGACCAGAATTGGATTGTGACTGGCTACCAGTCCCACCTCCTCTTAAAGGGATCACATTAGAGGGTCCTGGATAAATGAAAAATGTGGAACAAAACTCAAAATCATTAAAAAAAAACCCTAGGCTTACTGGATGGATAGAAACTGGTCGAAAGGTCAAGCCTGAGATTGTGGTCCTTAATCACGTTCTGATCCGGAAACAAACACACATTCACGGTTTAATTTTCAGTGAAATAATACAGGTCTGTATGGAGAACCAGTTTCAGGAGCGAAAGAAAAATCTTAATGCTCGCATTAAGATTTACAGTCTTGGAAACCCGATAAAGGATTGTTGTGATTCAGAATAGACTTGCTGGCAGTGAGTTTGTTTTTGATTTGAAAAGTATAATTTTATCTTCTCCCACTAGGATTAAGAAAGTTTATACATTCTAAAAGGGCAGGTAAGTTTTCAGTAGAGGTCACTCCAAAGAAATCCTCTCTGAGTGTCCCCAAATCCTGACATTTGTGTAATTTTAATATGGGCTAGAAGTTTAAAGAAACTCCCATTTTAACAGTGTTACCCAGCGAAGATAAAAAATTCGTGAGAAAAGAGATGTTGCAAAGGAGGCAGTATCTGGTGGATAAACTTCAGAGTACTGAGAGGAATCCTTGGCGGGTGCAAAAGGCTAAGTACTCAACTACTCACTGGAAGGTGTGGTTGAAACCTACTCAGAAGCTCATTTTCAGAAGCATCCCACAAGGGTTAAGTTCCTGCAAGCTCCACTGAGATGGGTCTGCGGTAGGTGATCCTGCTGGTATTTTACATTCTGGTCACTTAGCTTCCAGCATACAGAAATAAGCAAGTCGCCATAAGCTAACTGGCCGATGGGTGGATAGAGATTCATTCACTGATCACATCTGATCGATTTCGATTCATGGCGACTTTGTAGAACAGAGTATACAGTAATTGCCTTTATGGGCTTCTGAGACTGTAACTTTTTACCGGCGTAGAAAACCTCATCGTTCTCGCGGATATAACCTGGATTCTAGTGGTTCTTAGTGCTTTTGATTTTTTTTTTTTTTTGCCATTAGACTCCTTTTGATAAGTTGCTACGAGTTTTGTCCTCTGATTAGAAGGTTCACACACAAAGTTTGTACGGAGTCGAGTATTCCTGAAACTTCCTCCATAAACCTCTCGGAATCAATGGGCTTTAAGGTGAAAACCCTGTAAGGAAGATATCTATTTTTTGACCTTGGGTGTGAGGTCGGGGGCGGCAGGAGTAGGTGCGGGATTAGATTACTTTTTAAAATATCTACTAAATCATGGGATTAGAGCTCTGTAGTGTAGGGATGGCATAGGCAGAGGGAGAAAAGAGTATCTTCTAGTTCTACTAGAAGATTCCGGAACAATTTGAACTTTTAAAAAATTTTTTACGGACATTCTATCATGTGAACGCCACAATAATCCTGTGGTGATTAAGCTGAAGCTCTGCGGGGTTTTAAGAATTATTGAAGCAATACAGCTGCTAGGTTTCAGAAAGCAGTCGGACCAGCACTCTCGGGCAATGGCTCGTGGCTCAGTTGGGCGGGGCCAACAGAGGGGCGGAAGGGGCGGGGCCGCGCACGCGCGGCGCGCATTCGCGGTGACGTCTCCAGGCTTCCTCGCTTTGCCCGCCCCCCTCTTAATCCAGTACGGTGGCCGGCGGGAGTCAGATGCTGTGGATGAATGAAGGTGCTGGGCGCTTTCTGAAGCAGTTTCCTCGGCTCTCCCTTCCCTCCCGTGGCCCCGTCTGCAGTGTCCCCTTCCTGTCCGCATCGCACCGTCGACCCGGTTTTCCCTGCGTCTGGCTTCTTGGTGCCTCGGTCTGCTCGAGGTGCAACTAGAATTGCGGATCCGGAGAATCGCCTAGGCCCAACTTCGGACTGCGCTCTGGATTTCGGCCGCGACCCGCCGCTAGGACGGGGGTTCCGGGAGGCTCGGGGGTAGATCTTAAGGTAGGAAGCGCCCGCTTCTCAGGTGTCAGCGCGCTCTCCAGCCGACGCTTGCCACCCGGGGAACTTTTCTCCGCTTACTGAGTGTCGTGGTGCCCGCGGTGCGGGCGGCTGTGCGCGCTCAGCCTGCCGCTGCGAAAATCCCGCTCCCGTTTGCTACGAGCAAAAGCACGTTTCTGCTTAGGAGTCTGCTCGTTCGCCGCTCTGAGAGGGGACGAGTTTTGGCTACGGGCTCACTTTTTTTCCTTCCCCTTTTTCCTCTCTTTTTTCTCTTCTCTTGAGCACTGAAGCCAGAAGTGCCCCAGTGGAACTTGTTCTCTCCAAGTTTATAACGAATGGCATCCACACTTAACGATTAAAGAAACAAAACTTCCCCTCCTCTGTAGCAGAGGGCACAGGATCATGTTGGGGCCGCCGATCTTCAATTTGTTGTCCTTTATAACGCCGGCCGTGATGGGTCACAACTAATACAGACTGAGAGTGGGCGAGAGACGCCCACAAGTTCTGTACGTTTGAGAGGCTTTCAAGAAGTTCGTGGAAAAATGGAATTGAAAGATAATGAAATTTTCCTATGAACATTTTGAAATCTCATGTTGGCCAAGGATATGGGCATTCTTAACAGGAGAGAACTTTACATGCTACCACCCACCCCTGCATCCCAAGTAGGCAAAAGTCATGATTTCTACTTTTAAAATAATGATCCATGTCGTGTAAGATAATCAAGTGTTAACATACCACCGTATTGACTAGCATAGTGAAGAAAGACTTGGAGTGGGATTTAGTAGTTGAGAATTCAGCCTTGGATTTTGCCACTTAGCTAGTAATATACCTTGAACCCGTTACTTAATCTAGTATCTTCCAGTTTGCCATAGAAAGAGGAAGACAAACAATCCTTGTCTTTAGATTTGTGCCAGGAGCAGTGCCGATTTAGGGTGCTTATAAAGGACTTCATTTTTCACGACCTATAAAAAGAGGGACTTTGGTACATGTGGGATTTATACTTTATTTTCTGTTTGTGTTTTACCATTAGGATCAACAGTGATAATGACTGAGTGTACAAGCCTCCAGTTTGTCAGCCCTTTTGCTTTTGAGGCCATGCAGAAGGTGGATGTTGTTCGTCTGGCATCTCTAAGTGATCCAGAATTAAGACTCCTACTGCCCTGCTTGGTGCGGATGGCACTTTGTGCTCCAGCTGACCAGAGCCAAAGCTGGGCTCAGGACAAAAAACTTATCCTTCGTCTTCTGTCTGGAGTGGAAGCTGTCAACTCCATCGTTGCATTGTTGTCTGTGGACTTTCATGCCTTAGAACAGGATGCCAGCAAAGAGCAGCAGCTTAGGTAAAGTTATGTTATGTAAATAATAATTGGGATGTTCATGCATTTACCAAAGAATAACGAGCCCAATCTTTTTCAGTGCAATATTGGCTGCACTTCTATAGAAAAAGAAGAATGAGAATCTAAACTTTGGAGAACTTTTTACTTAGGTCTTTTCTACTTAGTGTTAAAATTCTGGGGTGGCTTAAGTGCATAAAGTGGATATTTGGCATGCATACTATTTGTATTTGGCCATATTAGACCAGTTGCTCTCAATGTGAAAAGGACAGGATAATATCTCCTGGGGTTGAGTGGTTTATTGGAGAGACTTGTTAAGCTTACACACTCACTGTCAAGTCGATGCTGACTCAGAGTGACCCTAGGACTGGGTAGAATTGCCCCTGCTGAGTGTTTGAGACTATCTTTATGGGAATAGAAAACCCCACCTTTCTCTTGTGAAATGGCTGGTGATGTTGTAGATTGCAGCCCAATGCTTAATGAATAACCATTAGGCCACCAGGATTCCTTCAAGCTTACATTGAGTCCCAGAGATTCTGGGCAGATGATGTATGTTTTTCCCTACCCATTGTGAATCCAATAGTGGTCTACTGCTGATAATGGCAGTGGATATTAGCTGTCAATTGTGATGGAGGCTTTATTTAGGCTGTGAATACCAAGGTAAACTAAAAGGTGTTCCAGAATAATAGAGAACATTTAGAATTCATACTTACTTTTTAACATTTCAATAAAAGGTACTTTTTACACTGATTTTCAAAGTAGGGCTCTCAAATTTGTTTACCATGTTTTTTGTATTTTACTAGGCATAAACTTGGAGGAGGTGGTGGTGAGAGCATTCTGGTCTCACAGCTTCAGCATGGATTGACATTAGAGTTTGAACACAGTGATTCACCTCGTCGGTTACGTCTTGTGCTTAGTGAATTGTTGGCAATTATGAACAAGGTGCATTTCTTTTAATCATGGGTCATAATATGTGTAATTATTGGGAGATGGCAAGAAGACAGGCAGGTTGCATCCTCTTCTGTTTGATATGTCAGTGTTTTCCTGTCTGTGTTAGACAGGGTTCTCTAGAGAAACAAAACCAGGACACACACACATACACACACACTGCCCGAAGAAACAAGGGGGTTCTGTCCAGCTCACTTCTGTGGAACAGTTAATATATTAGAAGTCCTTCAAGGTCAAGGAAGCAGACAGCTGAGTCTTCTGTAGGGCAGTGCAGGCAGCAAACAGCAGACAGGTCACCAACAGTCAGCAAGACGACAGATTCGATAGTCCCAAGCTCTAGCAACACGATCCATGGATTGGCAGTCCCATAGGTAGTGTAGCTCAGGAGTTGAGGCAGAGAACTAGCAGTCACAAGCTGGTTCGATCACCAGAAAGCAAGAGAGAGAGAGAGAGAGAGAAAGGCGCGGCTTGCCAAGCCATTTATCTCTTTGCCCTCCAATCAAACTGTGACCTTATTAATCCCACATGTTCCTATTGGCCAGGTTGGCATAATAAACCTATCACACTTTCAGAGACTGAAAGGTTATTAAATGCCTGCATTTAAAAGCTTGCTTTCTCTAGTTACTGTTTTTTCATGTTTATGTTCATTATAGGGATTTTGTCTATATAGAATAACAAATTAGATAATTTATTACAAATGAATTTTCTGCATTTGCAAAGATCCACTCTCTTGGACCTACACAATGTTTTCTTGATATTTAAAGCTGTTTATTTCTTTTAAAAAATACATTGTATTTTTTAAAAGAACGCTTAAAAGAAAAACCCCAAAACAGTATATTTCAAAACTTGTATGCACTGTCAAGTTTGATAATTAATACCTTTATAGGATATAATCTCGCTCATGAAATGTAGAGAAGTATAACAAAAGTGTGGGATTCCATTAGACCTAGAGTATACTTTAGGCCATATGTAATTAGGTAGAGAGTATCATAGTTGAGTGAGACACCAGTGAAGGAAGATTAGCTAGCTTCACTCATTTGCCATTGAAATTGCTCCTGTACACTCACAAAGGAGCTTCTTCTTTTTTTCTCAGCAAAATTATTGATTAAGTTGTGGACCTTTGGTTAATTGAAACTCTGATTGTTAAATTTGCTAATATCTAGGGTCTATCATATAAAGAAAGAAACTGGATCTTCATAGAAAGATGACTTATCTGAGATTAAGCCTGGAGGTTCAGAAAACCAGAAAAACCAAATTCATTGCCATTGAATTAATTCCAACTCTTACTGACCTTATTTGACAGGGTAGAACTGCTCCTGTGGATTCTTGAGATCTCCATTTTTATTGGAGTAGAAAACCTCAGCTTTCTTTCACAGAATGGCTGGTGGCTTAGAACTGCTGACTTTGGGGTGAGCAGCCTAATGTGTAACTGCTATGTCACCCCAAGGCTCTTGGAATTTCTGAGGCATTCTTTATTTACAACTAGAAGTTTGGGATTAGTTAATTTCTAATAAAGTTCAGTTTTATAAATTGTGGGCAAAAAATGTTTTCAGTGAATATTTAAGTCATTTTGAGTTAGTTTTAAAAAATACATGGTGAACCTTATAAAACTTCTTCCAAGTAGTAACAATGACTTCCTTCTAATGTTTGCTTCCATACTGTTGCTTTTTCACAAGTGTTTTCCTACTTAACAAGTAATGTAAGTGACCGTTCTAGTTTTCCCCCCTTTTTCTGCTATTGTGGTGAGGAAGCCACTCTGAGACATTTTCAAAAAAGGAGGTTCTTTTGATGATCTAACTTTTTTTTCCTTTTTTGCTTGTGTATACATTTCATTTGGAATTGAATTTGAATTTATATTTCATATGCTGCTTTAACATTACTGTAGTTTTGGTGGGGAGGAACTTTCTTGGAGTTCCAGTTGATGTAAGTAGCATTCCTAGTTCATTTATTCGACTTATCCTTTAATTCCAGATGCTCCCTAATATTTAGTAGAAATCACTTCTGGAGATTAGTACTGCCACGTCTAAATAATTATGTGACGCTAACTGTGGGTTAATTTAGTTTAAGTTGATCAAATAGTGTATATTCCGTTACAGTTTATGGTTACATATGAATAGCATGAAAAGAGACATGGTCTGTGAGTTCAGTATGTCATGTTTTAAAATTAAGGGATTTAATTTAAAAGTAAGGTGAAATTAATAAATTCATCATTTCCCTTTTTCTTTTCTTTCAGGTATCTGAATCCAGTGGGGATTTTTTTTTAAAGTCTTCTGAGCTCTTTGAGAGTCCAGTCTATTTGGAGGAAGCTGCAGATGTTCTTTGCATTTTACAAGCAGGTATACTGAGCTCTAAGATGCATTACAGATGTAATTTCTTCCTAAATGATATGTAAAAGTTCTTAATCTGAACTATTATGTTATAAAGATAATCTAATAAAAATGTACCTTAAAAACTTAAGTAAAGGGGAAGGAGGGGGAAAATATGAGGAACTGATACCAAGGGCTCAAGTAGAAAGAAAATGCTTTGAAAACGAAGATGGCAACTTATGTACAAATGTTCTTGAGACAATGTAGGTATGTATGGATTGTGATAAGAGTCGTAAGAGCCCCCAATAAAATGATTTTTTAAAAAGTTAAAATAAAAATGATTAAAAAAAGATCAATCAGAGGACAGCAAGTGAGTAAATATGGAACTCTGTTAATGCGATGATTAATGTGCTAAATTGTTCACTGAAAGGTTAGTGGTTCAAACCCATCAGGCACTCCTTGGGAGAAAGATGGAGCAGTCTACTTCGTTGGAAACCCCATCTTGCAGATCTGCTCTTATTGGGTCATTATGTGTCTGAATCTATTTGCCAGCAGTGGATAATGAGGTAAATTACATCATTTCCACTGTATGATATATTATACAGCCATTGAAATGGTGTTTTTGAAGAAATTGGGTTATTTGGAAAGTGCTCAATTTAATAAATTTCAAAAGCAAAGGGCAAATGGTGAGTAGGATATAAGTTAAGGTTTATTAAAAAAAAGAAAAGTTAAGGTTTATTAAAAATAAAAACAATTCATGGGGAGATTAAACTTACTGCAAATATTAACTTTGCCAGAGGGGATTCGTGTTGATAATAATTTTCTTCTTTCCACTTTTTCTTATTTTTCAGATTTAAAAAAATAGCCATGTATGATCAAAATGAAAGCAAAGAACATAAACACGCAAAAAAAGATTTTCATGAAAATTCCTCTTATAGAACAGTTTTGCCCAATAGAATTTTGCAATGATGAAATGCTCTTTGTTGCACTGTTCAGAGCAGTAGCCCTGAGCCACATGTGGCTGTGGAGTACTTGAAATATGGATAGTGGAATTGAGGAACTGAACTAATTTACATTTTATTTAAATTATATTTGAATTGCCAGCAGTGACCCATGGTTATCTTACTGGGCAGCTCAGCTTTAGACTATCCAAAAAAAAAAAAAGGTTTGGGATAACAAATGTGAAATGCTGAAGGTCGTTTAATGAAATATCTTTCTTTACTAGTAACGTTGACTTTGTTTTCTTTTTCTTTTTCACTTCATTTTCTTACAGAGCTTCCTTCCTTACTTCCTATAGTTGATGTAGCTGAAGCCTTGCTACATGTTAGAAATGGAGCCTGGTTTTTATGTCTCTTGGTAGCCAATGTACCTGATAGTTTCAATGAAGGTAAGTAGAACTTTAAAATGAGATATGGAAGAGATTTACTTGGTATGTATGAAGAGTACCCAAAAGAACCAAGAATTGCGCTGGGCAGAGTGGAACGTTCGTGGTATGCATTTTTTCCTGCTAGGTGAGGATTGGGCAACTCACTTTGAGTTAGTGCATCTAGTGGCATTGCCTGGGAAGGTTTTCTCTGGTCACAGGGAATTTTTTTGTTAAAGCAGTTTTGCACAAACCTCGTTTTCTGTGGTGGTTGGTTTAAGAACACAGCATGCAGCTGTGAAATTTTGTTTCCTGTTAGGGAAAAATGCTGCAGAAACTGTTGTGATATTTGAACATAGCTTAGAAGGACAGGCTATGGGGAAAACTCAAGTGTATGAGAGAAAAAGTGGTTTTCTCGTTTCAAAAATGGTGAAATGTCGTTGATGACAAACCTCGTTTTGGACATCCGTCAACTTCCCAAATGGATGAAATTGTCGACTCATAGTGCATTTGGAGTTCATTCCACCAGGTCAGACTGTTAATCAAGCTTTCTATTTAGAGGTTCTGAAAAGATTGCATAACATTGTGCAACAAAAAGGCCTGATTGTGGCCACCATGGCAACACACCTACTCATACAGCCATCTGAGTGAGGCAGTTTTTGGCAAAAACAGCATGCCTCTCTTGCCCCATGTACTTTACTCATCTGGCCTTGCTCTCTGCGGCTGCTTTTTGTTTTCGCGAATGCAGATGGACGTGAAAGGACAGTGATTTGAGGACAGAAGGGGTGGAGAAGAAAACAAGGGAGGTGAGCTTGTCAGACATCCAAACAGATGAGCTTGAAAAATGTTTGCAAGAATGAAATTACAGATTTGACAAATGTATTAAGTGCAATGGAGAGTAATTTGAAGGTGATAAAGGTTGTTTTGTAAAAAATTCCGTTGTTCTGGGGGTATCCTCTCGTATGCTGCTATATCCATTGGTAGGCATTCAGATTGCTTCTACCTTTGGGCTGTTGTAAATAATGCTGCAGTGAACATTTCCTCCCAGCAAATTCTCACTAGCACTTACTGTTTCCTGCTTTTAACTTTTCCATTTTGAGTTTGACATTATCTTTTAGTTGTTTAAAGACGTTACTCTGATGTGGGTGAGGTTTTTTTTTTTTTATTTAATTTAATTTAATTTTTTTTAATGTGGGTGAGTTTTAATCTTTGCTTCTCTTTCTCCCTTCCACCCAGACTACTTTTAAAATTTTCTATCACTGGTTTTTGGAAATTTGATTATGTTGTGATGGTCTGATTTTCTTTCTTTGTATTTAAATTGTGTGAGACTCTGAATTTCTTAGATCCTTGGACTTGAAGATCTCATCCAATTTGAAAACGTTCACCTTTTATTTCTTTTTTTATTTTTCTACTCTTGCTATTTTTTTGAGATTATAAGTATGTTTGCATGCTTAATATTACTCCCTATGTCAATGTGCATTGTAGATTTCTGTTGGCACTGTCAGATAAGCATTGGAGTGCTAATTGAAAGGTCAGTGGTTCAAACCCACCAGCTGCTTTGCAGGAGAAAAGATGAGGTTTTACAGAAAGCCCTACATAGAGTCGCTCTATCAGAATGAACTCGATGGCTGTCGGTTTGGTTTTACATTTGGGGAATGGAGCACTTGCGGGTTAAGCATTGTGCTGCTTTTCTCAGGGGTGGCAGTTCAAACCCACCACTTGCTCTGCAGGAGAAAGATGAAGCTGTCTGCTCCTTTAAAAATTGACAGTTCAAAAAAATAATGTACGGTTCAGAAACAGGTCACTGTGAGTTGAAATCAATGAGATAGCAGTGGGTTTGGGTTTTGCTTTTGACCAGTTTTTAATGCTATTTTGTCAAGTTCGCTGATATTCTGTAGTGTATAATTTACATAAATGATCCTTAAAGCCAAATAAATAGGTTTTATTTAACATGTTTATTGACATCTAATTCACAAACTCTATAATTCAATAGTTCAGTTATATTAAGAAGAGTTGTGCAATCAGCACCCCAATTTTAGAATTGTTTTTTTCATTTTTCTAAGGAATAATTTTTAATACCATACAAAGCTTGAAGTAACAGGGGTTCTTCAATGTTCAGTTTGTAGAGGCCTTATTAAGAATGGAGAGCGACAAGATGAGGAAAGCCTTGGAGGAAGACGCAGGACAGATGCCTTACGCTTCTTATGTAAAATGAACCCTGCGCAGGCTCTTAAAGTTCGAGGCATGGTGGTAAGAGAAACATACCTATGTATTAAGATTAGGAACTTTTTACAGACAGTGGCTTGAGAGGCTTGAAAGGGTTGGGGACTGCAGTGCTGCACAGACAGTGTCTGGGTGTACTTCCCTGCTAATGTGTGGATCTGCCCTTCGCTGGAAGTGATGGAGCATCCCCGACTGGCAGCACATTCTTTGTCACAATCACCTTCACTTGCAGCACTTGAGGCTGTTAGGGCATTGGAGAGACTTCAGACATCTCTTCTGGCACTGAAGTAAGGCTACTTAAAAACAGTGTGCACCTGTTCCACTTACCGATCCATTCAAATTAAAGACACCCTTCAGAACGGTGCTTGCTCGTGGCCCTGGGTGTGCCTGTACTGGATTGTGTTAATTTCTTTTCTGGATTTTTGTGTTTTGTGAAATACTGTACTCTGAACTTCAGATGCCTTAGTTTCTGAAGTATTTTGGACTTACGAATTAATTCAGTTCCTTTTTCTTTTTTGCACGTTAGGTGGAAGAATGTCATCTTCCTGGCCTTGGAGTGGCTTTGACACTGGATCATACTAGAAATGAAGGGGGTGAAGATGGAGTGAGTGACTTGGTGTGTTTTGTTAGTGGCTTGCTTCTTGGAACAAATGCCAAAGTCCGGACATGGTTTGGAACTTTTATCCGAAATGGACAACAGGTGAGCAATAAATTTATATTTGTATAGCTGTATAGGCTAAGGGGCAAGGCATAAGCTTAATATAAGAGGAAGAAGAACTTCAGGATATCATTAGACCTGTGGTTCTCAAACTTCATGACTGCAAGAATTCTTTACATATTAAATCATTCAGCATACCAAAGAACTTTTGTTTCTGTGGCCTTTCTTTATTAATATTTACCATATTAGATATTAAAATGAAAATAATGAAATATTTAAGAATATCAATTATAAACCCATTAAATACAAACCTAACACATAAATAAGAGGGTGTCAAAAAATTTCCATTAAAAAGGAAAATGAGCTAATTCCAGGAACCCAAGCAGAAAACGAATTTTGAAAATGATGAGGGCAACAAATGTATAAGTGTGCTTTACACAATTGATGTATGTATGGATTGTGATGAATTGTATGAGCCCCAATAAAATGATTAATTAAAAAAAAAGTTTCCATTATCTTTTAATTTTATTTTTCCATGAAGTGCCTCACATTTTTTTTAATGATTCTAAAACTTTACTTTAAAAGTTGTTTTTTAAAAAATCATTTTAATGGGGCTCGTACAACTCTTATCACAATCCATCCATCCATTGTGTCAAGTACATTTGTACATTTATTGCCATCATCATTTTCAAAACATTTTCTTTCTACTTGAGTCATTGGTATCAGCTTCTCATGTTTTCCCCTTCCCCCACCCTCCTGAACCCTTGATAATTTATAAGTTATTATTATTTCTTCATGTCTTACACTGACCGATATCTCCCTTCACCCACTTTTCTGTTGTCCCTCCCTTGGGAGGGGGTTTTGGTAGATCATTGTGATCAGTTCCCCTCTCTCCCCCTACCTTCTCCATATCCTCCTGCTATGGCTACTCTCAATATTGGTCCTGAGGGGTTTATCGAAGCTCCTCATATTTTAAGTAACTTTTCTGAAACAAAAGATTATTGAGAGATAAATTTCTTTAATGTCTAGAAAAGTACAGTTGTGGGAATGTGAATGAAAAGTTAAGTGATGTCTATGATAAGGACATTTAAAAAAAATTAAATTAATGGAGGGGCTTTTACAAATCTTATCACAATCCATCATTCAATTGTCTTAAGCACACTTGTACATATGCTGCCATCAACATTTCCAAAACATTTTCTTTCTACTTGAGCCCTTGGTATCAGCTCCTCTTTTCCCGCTCCCTCCCCTGTCCTGCCACCTCATGAATCCTTGATCAATTTATATAGTATTGTTATTTTGTGTCTTACACTGTCCGTTGTCTCCCTTCATCCACATTTCTGTTATTTTTGATCTACTAGCTTCCTTGAAAATATCTGGGGAGGCCCTAGTGTCCCTGGGACAAACTCTTTATAAGTGTTGTATTAGATCATCGAAAGAAATTATTAATATATTCAGTAGCTTTCATATTTTGCCACAGTTTTTAATTTGCAAGATAGTTTGTTTGTTCACAAACATTCATAGGAGCTCTGAGTAGAGCCCTTTTCGAGGAATGGATGAGTGAAGTCGGATGTTGAAGCCCACTCAGCTAGATAGTAGCATGTGTCCTGCTTAAATCCTCCAGCTTCTTTGGTTATTTCCGTTTAACTTTTTGATTAGGATTTTGCTGATGGCTTTCAGAGCAGGTCGTCCCATGTGCCCTCAGTAGGTATATGCGTTTTGGTTCATCTCGTTGGTTGGAGTCCCCTCAATGGAACATTGCTTATCCCACTTTCTCCCTGCTTTTCCTGTTTCCACGCCTGTCTCTTTTCTAACCCTCTGAATTTCGTCCTTGGGTAAATGCTGTTATTTTAATCTCAAATGGTTGATTATCTTAAGGCGTTCAGAGCTCACTAGTGTTAATTGCTCCCTTTGTAGACTTGTTCAGTGTTTGGTTGACAGTTGAGGGGTGGCACATGAGATCGGTTCCAGAACTGAAGGCAAACTGAAGGTCATAGTCACAGGGACTCCACCAGCCTCTCGCTAACCAGCCCATCTGCTATCTTTTATGACTTTGGAGTTTCGTTCCATATTTTTCTCCCACTCTATCTAGGACCATCTACTATGATCCCTTCTCTGAATTCAAAATCTGCTTTCTTTCTAGCCTGTTGAGAACCCGTGTTAGGCTTTGCTGTTCTTGAAGGAAGTTACCTTTATTGTATTTCTTCCATGTATTAGGTACTTGTTTTAAACACTCCAGTAATCTTTACTTCTTTGAACTCAATATTAAAAACAGGATAAACTTAGATATACTCTAGGAATCATAATTAACTAATCCTTTCACAGCGCTGTATAATTTTGCAGGAGCCCTGTAGTATAGTGGGTTAGGTGTTGGGCTGCTGAGGAAAGGTTGTTGGATTCAAGCCTAGGAGCTGCTTCTCAGTGATAGTTCACACTCTCCGCTCCCCTAAGGAGCTGTAGCTTGGAAACCTGAAGAGCAGTTATGTCTCTCCTATGGGGTTGCTATGGATCAGAACTGACAGGGTAGCAGTGGGCTCGTAGAATGATTTAGAAATGCTTCTCTGTGTATTATCTGTCTTTGTGCATTAATTCGTCTATTTAGTAGACATTGAGCACTTTACTATATGTCAGACAGTGTCAGGCCTTGCAGAGAAAGAAATGATAGACATTGTCCCTACCTGAAAAACTATAGGAACAACAGACTTGTAAACTTGGAATCACAACTCTGTGAATTAAATATTGGTACTATAATATCCTTTTTTTTTCTTTTGTGGTTAAGGGAATTGGAGTTCAGAGAGGGTAAGTAATATACCTGAAATTATGTAATAGCAGAGCTGGGGTTTAGAGCCAAGATCTTCTATCTCTAAAATCTGAGCATTTTCTATTATATCATATTTATGGTTATGTAACTGAAAGTAATATATTTTTAAATATCCTGCAGTTCAGATTGTCATTAATTCAGTGTCCCTTTTATAGCCAGTTAAAATTAGGATGGATGCAGTAGTGGTCACATAAACCAGAGGAGTTGGCCTTTGAATTGGTTTCATTGATTAAGATGAAATGAGACACTAATGGCATCCTCCTCAAATGGGTCCATTTCAAGTACCTAGGGGGCTTTGCTTGAACTTCGTTTTCATACTTTCTTCCCTTTGTGGCCCGTTTTTCTTACAGAGAAAAAGAGAGAACAGCACCTCTGTCCTTTGGCAAATGAGAAGGCAGCTTCTCCTGGAGTTGATGGGCATTCTCCCTCCAGTGAGAAGTGCCCGCATTGTGGAAGAAGCGGATGTGCAGATGGAGCCCAATGTGTCTGTGTATTCGGGGCTGAAAGAAGAGCATGTTGTGAAAGCCAGTGCACTCTTACGTCTGTACTGTGCTTTGATGGGGATCGCTGGACTCAAGTATTCAATGATTTGATATTCTATCTTTTTGTCACTTTATTTTCTTATTTCCAATCCCAAGATAGTGAACCAAAGGCCATTTATTCAGAGTCAAGGTTTTCCACTTGACAGAGGCTGGCCTGTATCAAGAATGAAGTCCTAAGGCAGAGCATTCCTAGCTGAGCAAATCCATTGCTTTCGGTCTGGTTTGTAAACAGAATTACATAAACATGGGAGGGACTGGAGCAGCTTATCCATTTTCAGTCATAGTGTAAAGAAACCAGTGCTTCCACTTCAGTTTGATAAACTTCTGTGAAGGAACTTTGATTGATACCATACTTAGCCTATGTAACTAGTTGAAGTAAATAATTCTTTAAAAATTGCTATGAGCCCAAAGGTCAATCACATCAAGAAGAGTTTTATAATCATCACTGCAATCAGTTTTAGCATATTTTCTTCAGTCTTGTACTCATTATTAATATATTGTTTCCCATTTCTCCCAGCCTCCCCTCCCCTACCCCTAGGGAACCATTAATCCAGTTACTGTCTCTGTAGACTTACCTATCCTGAATTTCATATACAGGAAAACAATAAACAAACACCACCAACAACAAAACTAGCAATAATAACAAAGTAAAACATATAACACTCAATTGAAAAGAAAGTAGAAAATATTAAAAACTGGTACAAATTTAAATGGACCATAAGGAAAATAAAATAACAGGGTGGTAAATTTTAACCTAACTGCATCTGTAATAATTCACTTGCTGTTGTGTTCCGCCTTTGCTAGCAAGGCTATTCACATCCCTGGTCCATGGCCAGAGGGGATCAGTCCCCAGGGCTTAATCCATGCTATCACATCACTCCTTTCAGCCTGTCAATGATTGCTCACTGTGCATCTGTTATTCTGCTCATGTACAGACAGCAAAGCATGTGATTGTGTTGCTTATTTGTCTCTCGGTGGTGAACCCACCTGAAATTTGTAAATGGCTAATTGAAATAATTGGCCCATAAAGGAGACAAAATTGAATAGAGAAAAAGTGTTCACACTGGAAGTGACATTTGAATGAAATGTAAAGAAGAAATACTCGTCCATGGGATTGTTTGCCCTGCCACCATTTGAGAGCATCTAGGTAGTTAGAGGGAGTTAGTGAAGGTGAACCTGTTGACACGAATGAAGCATGTGGTTGTGTGAAAAAGATGAAGATGTCTTAGGGAAGTGACGCTGGCACCAATCTTCACAGTTGAGGAGCTTGCCGGGATGCTTCACAACCGGGAAAGTGCAAAGGATACAATGTTGGAAGCTGATCCAGACAGCGTGGAGGATGACAGTTTACCCCTGCCTACCAGAGGCTCCCTCTCAAATTATACAATGGGAAGGAAGCAGATTGTTCAACTACTTGATAAATTCTTTACAATGAAACAAAACACTTTAGTTTTTAATGTTTTCATTGTATTCTAAGTAAATAGTAGTGTTACAATTTTTTAAATTTCCCTGCACATTACAACTGATGAGAGTTTTTAATGCCTGATCAAATTTTTAAAGGGCAGGAAATACTCATAAAATTTCCTATTGACTATTAAGATCACATTGCAAGACTTCAGCTTGCAACACTATTTCTTTAGCCCACACAACTGTGCAAAGTGAGGATTGCCCTCCTTCTGTTTGAGCAAACACTATGAAAGTAAAATGTCAGTAGCTTTACTTTAGACAATTTAAGGTGTTAAACATTATATAAATGTGGAGGTATCCTCATAATGCTAAAAACTTGTATCTGAAAGGCTAAATTGTTGGAAATTCACTTTTTCTCCCTCCCAACTAAGCAGAGTAAAGCCTAATAACGTATTCCTTTTTAGACCAACAGAGGAAGAAGCCGAGCAGTTACTGCAGTTGATGACAAGTCGTCCTCCTGCTACGCCGGCTGGGGTTCGCTTTGTCTCTCTCTCCTTTTGCATGCTGCTGGCTTTTTCTACACTCGTCAGGTACCTAACTGTATTCTGAAAAACTCCTTTGTTTACTTGTTGGCGTGCATGAATAATATTAGATTAGGCAAAACTGACCTAGGGATGGCCAGTTGTATCTTTTTAAATGAACGGATGTCAGTAGCGAGTAACTTACGTGCTGATTATTTTATTGATGAAAGTTTCATGTGCACAGTTTTAGTTTTTTGATTAATCATTTTATTGGGAGCTCTTACACATATTACAACAGCCCATTCAATTAGATCAAGCATAATTGTATAATTTGCTGCCACGTTCATTTTCAAAACATTTTCTTTCTTCTTGAACTGTGTGGTGTCAGCTCCGCTTTTTCTCTGCCCTCTCCATCTTACTCCACAGGAACATTTATTATATTATTATTTCCCATATCTTACACCATCCAGTGTATCCGTTCATGCACAATTTTGTTGTTTGTTCCCCTTAAGTGGGGTTGTACGGTCTTCCTTACTATCAGCTCCCCCTTTCTCCCCTCCCCCACCCTCACTTCCTATCCCCTCAGGGAATCATTACTCCCATTACGGTTTCTGAAGGTTTACCTAGCTGGCTTTTATGCATCAAAGAACTTAATTGTATAAATGAATATATGCAGGTCTAACGAGATTAATGAGGTTAAACAAAGACCATGATTATAAGAGGAAGAAATATTAATGAACTAGAGGATGTGTTTCATCAGTGCTACACTGCACCCTGGATGTATCATCCCTTCCATGTGGCCCTTCTGTGAGGGACTGTCCAATTGTCTTATAGGGGGGCTTTGGGGCTACAGTTTGTCCATGCTCCTTCATATCAATTTATTGCTTGTTTTTGAACTTCATTTTGTGTGTGTGTTTTTTGAACTTTTGATACTTATTTCTGTCGACACCTCATTATCACATGGGCTGGTGGTCATGTGCATATTTTTAAAGGAGCCAGAATAGTACAAAATTTGTTAAAGAACAGCAGTCTTCATGCCCTTCCTCCTCAATTTTTCTTCCAAAGAGGAACTTCTTTCAGTTCTTTTAGCTGATTCTTTAAATAACATGCTTGCATTGTTACATCTTCCTTTTCAATTTCAGGTGTTATTTGCTGACTTCCCTTCTCTTTGTCGCCAACATATTCACATAGCCGATCTGCTTTCCCATTCTAGTAGTTGCAATTTGGCGATATATGTTGATACTGATGTGATGAATATATATAGAGCTCAACCTTGGCAGTAGATACTGACGTTTTCTCTCCTGCAGAACTTTGTTTTTCGCTTAAATGCTTACCCTGTCTCTTTATTTTTCAATTTTTAAAATTTGCTTGGTCAGCCATCTAGCAGGGAAGCAACAAAGCCCACATGGAAGAAGCACACCTGTGTGATTATGAGGTGTCTATGGGATCAGGTATTAGGCTTCAGAAGAGTCAAAACAATCATATCTGTGAGTGAGGGGTGTCAGAGTGAAGACTCAAAGCCCATCTGTAGACAATTGGACATCCCCTCACACAAGGGTCACAAGGAAGAGACAAGCCAGCCAGGGTGCAGTATATTACCAATGAAACACAACCTTCCTCTAGTTCTTTCTTTTCTTTTTTAAAATTTTATTGGGGGCTCTTAAAACTCATCATAATCTATACATCCATCCATTGTGTCAAGCACATTTGTATATTTGTTGCCATATCATTCTCAAAACATTTGCTTTCTTTGCCTCCCAGCTCTTTCCTCTATTTCCCTTGACTTTCCTTCTGTCCCACTATCATGCTCAGTCCCCACCAGGGTTTCAGCAATTCCTCTTGGTTACATTCCCCTTGAGCATGCCCTACCAGGCCTCCCA